ACAACGAAATTACTTGACTGCTCCATAAAAACACTAATTAAACAATACAGTATAATACAGCAAGGGAGATTAGATGACTTTCATTTTTTTTTAAATAAATTTTTATTAAAGTTTCCATATTTTTAATAACAACAAAAACAAAACAAAACAATACAATAAACACAAACCAACAAAGAACAAGTACAATTTCAAAATCTTATTTTCATATAGTTTACTTCCCCGACTCCCTCATACCTCCCCTTTCTGTATTCCAATTTTTAATCGTTTATTCAGCAAATTCTTCCCTTATTTTAACTTTAAATTTAATCTTGCTCATTTTCCTTATCTTATCCGTTACCGCTGGTAACTGCTTATTTTCTAATCCAACATCATTTTAACACTCATTAATTTTACAGTGCTTCTTTAAATAGTCCTTAAATTTTTTCCAATCTTCTTCCGCTGTTTCTCTTCCCTGGTTTCGGATTCTGCTCGTCATTTCTGCCAAACCCATGTAGTCAATCACCTTCATCTGCCATTCTTCCAAGGTGGGTAGATCTTGTGTCTTCCAGTACTTTGCGATGAGTATTCTTGCTGCTGTTGAGATTAGATGACTTTCAAAGTCCGGGCTTCCCATTCAGGGCCGAGATTGCTCTGGAGAAGAAGCTGTTCTTAAGACGGCTCGTCCTGTATCTCCGTCCCGACGGCAAGAGCTCGAAGAGACAGTGACCAGGATGTGATGGATCTTTTACTATGTCCAGTGCCTTCCTATGGCACCTTGTGGCATAAATCTGCTCTAAGGTGGAGAGTGGGCAGCCAACAATGCTCTCTGCTGCCTTAACAACCCTGCACAACCCCATCCTGTCCTGGGTAGTACAGCTTCCGTACCAGACACATAAGCCACAAGTGAGCACGCTCTCAATGGCACAGTGATAGAAGGCAAGCAGCAGTTTCTGTGGAAGATGGTTTTTCCTTAGTATTCTCAAAAAGTACAGTCTCTGCTGCGCCTTCTTTCACAAGCCCCCTTGTGTTGACACTCCAGGACAGATCCTCTTGTAATTCAATGCCCAAAAATCTGAACGTTGTTACCCTCTCCACACAGACCCCATCAATCAAAAGTGGCTGGACGTTGCTCTTCTGAAGGAGGGAAAGGACTTGTTCTCTCTCTCTTTCTGATTCTTTTCCATATAACAACATCCACCATCTATACATGTGGTTTAACAGTCAATCCCTCTTCCCGGGAACTATTGAGAATTACTTATAGTTCTGTGAGAGGAATAGCCCTCAATGGCCTGGTTCTGATGAAAACTAAACCATGGTTTATTTGAATGTCTTAACATACACTTAACCACAAACCATGCTTATAAGCCATGGTTGGTTGCTGGCTTACAAACCTTCGTTTGTGTTAATGATGGCTTAGCGTCTAAGATCTCTGGCCCCATCTGCACTATACATTCAAAACACTATGGTACCTAGGGATATTACCGAGATTTCAAAGGCGGAAGTGACTTTTTTTTGGGGGGGGGAGGTGGCAATTTCTCCTGGATATCCAGCAAGAGTGCCGTGGTTTTTACTTTTTGATAGATGGCAACCCTAAGTACCACTTTAAACAGTCAGAGCTTCCCCCAATGAGCTATGGGAACCTGAGTTTGCTGAGGGGACTGAGACTTGTTAGGAGACTCCCAATTCCCCTCACAGGAATTCCCAGAGTACTTTAACAATCAATTCCTTGTCTTAGGGAATCAAGGAATTGTAGCATTGTTGAGGAGAATAAGGGTCACCTAACAGCCTTCAGCACCTGGAACAAAGGACAGTTCCCAGAATTATTTGAGGGAAGCCATAGCTGTTTTTCCCCCCTGTTTTTTTTTTTTGTAGAGAAGTACTTTTATTTTATTGTTTCATTCTGCTCCGACAGATTGGCAACAAAACTCTGAAAGTTAGTCGAAGAGACCGAATCCCATGTGCTCATCAGACTCCTCCTTGGCCTCCACCTTGGCTGGGGCTGCTGCAGCGGGAGCTGCAGCCTCAGCTGCCACAGGGGCAGCAGTCACAAAAGCAGAAGCACAAAAGCAGAAGGGTCAGCCAGGAAGGCTGATGTCAGCTAATGGGAAAGAGTAATCAGTCTCTACAGCCACAGCCAGAACTCGTTTGTATCCATTGATGATGGAGTGGGGCACAGAGGCAACTGTTGGGTAGCCAATTTGCAGGCAAACACTGGCAACATTGCGAACACCTTCCAAGAAGCGCCCATGCAGGGTCTCTTCAGTGATGTCCAGGACTTCAGGGCTGTAAATGCTGCCATTATCAAACACCTGCTGGATGACGAGCCCAAAGGAGAAGGGGGAGATGTTCAACATGTTCAGCAAGGTGGCTTCGCTGGCACCCACTTTGTCTCCGGTCTTGATCAACTGCACATCACTCAGAATTTCAATGGTGCCTCTGGAGATCTTGGTGGTGATGCCCAAAGCCTGGAAAAAGGAGGTCTTCTCAGGGCCAAGGCCGGTGTTTTGAGCTGGCACAGTGACCTCACAGGGGGCAATAGCACCTGCAGCAGCTGGTACCTTGTTGGCCAACAACATGTCCCTGATTTCAGTCAGATCCTCCTTGGGGAACACGAAGCCCACATTACCACAGATATGAGGCAGAAGCTTCTCCAGAGCTGGGTTGTTTTCCAGATGCCCCGGATTGCCTTGCGCATCATGGTGTTCTTCCCCATCAGGACCACGGCCTTCCCACGCAAGGACATGTGGATTTGCTGCATCTGCTTGGAACCAACATTGTCTGCTCCCACAATGAAGCATTTTGGATAGTCGTCCAAGAGTTGGATGATCTTGAGGAAGTAGTTTGACTTCCACGTGGCTCGGTCTTCCCTGGGCATCGCGGTGACCCAAGGATCGCAAGGCAGCGGTTTAAAGACTCCGGTGTTTCTCTCACGAGGCCTCCATGGAGCAAAAGAGCCATAGCTGTTTAAACTGGTATCGTAGGGCTTTAAATGTCTAGTGTAAATGTGGGCTTTGTCAGAAGGAGGGATGCCTCTTCAAAGAGGCCAGCTGTGGTGTGTGTTGTAAAGTACTTCAAGTAAAAATAACATCTCTTAAAGAATGCCGTTTTCAACCAGGGACCCTTGTTCAAAACTACTACTTCTCATCTCCCCCCCCCCCATGGGCAGACACGATGCTTTGGGGCAGAGGACTTCTGTGTGAAAATAGCTTGATGGATTTTAATTTAATTTAATTGACAGTATAATTGCTCATATATCTTCAGCTGGAAGGAAGAATGGAGGGAGTCTATGAGCTGCCAAGAACTGATAAGGTTCTTTAACTGCAGTTCGACAGACTGCTCTTCTTCCCAGGCTGAGAGGGAAAATGGTGACAACAGTTTATTTACTGGGACAGAGCGACTTTTGCAGCTGTTGTTAAAGTTCTTGGAACAACAAAGCGAAGGAGAAATTTTCTGGAACAATAGGATATCAGCTCTGCCCGAGGCATGACATATAACAGCAATAATCGGGGAAAAGAAAGACGTAACATCTTACAAGTACAGGAACAAACACCATGGACAGAATAATTTCCACACACAGGAAGAACAAGGATATAGTTTGAGTTCCTCACTTGCAGTTTTATAAATCATTTAATGTGTCAACACAAATAGAAGTTATTAACACTGCAGTTGTTCTATAAGGGATTATTATTATGACCGGAATGTAATGTAAACTAATAAGATTTTGGAACGTAGAAATAAAGAAACTCATCAAACCATCAGTTCTAGGACGTGGTGGACCGCTTTAACTAAATTATATAATTTGGTATTTGAATGATTGGTATTAATAACTGCATTTTAATTGTTGTTGTTATAATGAGGCTACTATTGGACTGTAATTGAAAACTAATAAAAAATTATTATGTATATAAAAAAGGATTGTAGAATTGGAATGGAACCCAGAGGATGATTTAGCCTTTTATGAGCCCTACCTGGAGGTGCCAGGGATTGAACCTGGGAACTTTAGAATTACACCCACCCATCTGGCTGGGTTTCCCCAGCCACTCTGAGCAGTTTCCAGCACATATAAAAACACTGAAAGCTCCCTGCCACTGGGCTGCCTTCAGGTGTCTTCTAAAAGTTGAAAAGTTATTTATTTCCTTGACATCTGATGAGAGGGCGTTCCACGGGGCAGGTGCCATCACCAAGAAGGCCCTCTGCCTGGTTCCCTGTAACTTCACTTCTTGCTGTGAGGGAACTGCCAGAAGGCCCTTGGCAATGAGGAAAAGGCTAAAGATGAGCCATCATATTGGACGGTGCTGTTGCGTGTATTTTTGTGGAAGGACAGTTATCCTGTGAAGCTAGGTGAGCGTCCTATCTTGAAATATCTATTATTGCTGCCTGCTTCTGTTTGTCACAGCCATCTTTTGCAAGGAAGGAAATTTCATATGCAGTAAGAATTTTATTATTATTATTTGCAATTTGAAAACTGACAAAAATGAAAAATATGCATGACCAAAGCGGTATGGAAATATTGCTTAAATAAACAAAAGAAATCCACCCCAAAATGCATTTTGCACAAGAAACCACATCAAAGCACCGCCTGGACTGGAATGCAGATAAGCCTCTTTCCAAATTTCCTCCCGAAAGCCAGGAAAGACTACAAATCCCATAAAGCTTTGGGTCAGGAAAGGGTAGAGGGAGAAGCACTACAAGACCCAGCATTCCTTGCACACAATGCCTTTTCTCAATCCCCATTTTCAAAGGAGGGGAGGGGATCCTGCTGCGGTGAGGTCACTGGCGGGGGGGGGGGGAGGCGATGTCTTCCTGGAGGGGAAGCAGCTTTGTTGGGAAATCGGGGCCCTGAAGCCCCACACCCCGGGACTGTAAGGACCCTCCTTGCTTGCAGGGGCTTCCTTTGGGTGCATTGGAGAAGTAGGCTTTGGATCTTGCCTGCTTGAATCCTGCACAGCCTGTGAGTGCTGGGAAGCGGGGGGGGGGGGCAGATCTGGGGTAGGCTGGGGGTTGAGAGAGAGGGAGCTCGTCCTGCTGCAAGTGCCTGGAATAAATGGGAGAGAGGGGTGCACTCCCCCCTTGCAGGAGCCTGCCTTAAATTACATGCAGTGGAATAATAATAATAATAATAATAATAATAATAATAATAATAACGAGCCTCCACCTTGCTTGGGGGAGCAGGAGGGCCTTGGAAGCTGCTCTGCAGGCAGAAGGTGCAAGGTCCAATCTCTGGCCTGACTGGGTAAAGCTGGAGAGACACTTGCCTGAAACCCCCTGAAATGCTTCTGCCAGCCCAAGCAGGCAACATTGAAGCTCAGTGCACCCATGGTCTGACTGGATATAAAGGTAAAAGACTCCTGACTGTTAAGTCCAGTCGCGGACGATTCTGGGGTTGCGGCGCTCATCTCACTTTACTGGCCGAGGGAGCCGGTGTACAGCTTCCGGGTCATGTGGCCAGCACGACTAAGCCGCTTCTGGCGAACCAGAGCAGCGCACAGAAACGCCGTTTACCTTCCCGCCGGAGTGGTACCTATTTATCTACTTGCACTTTGACGTGCTTTTGAACTGCTAGGTTAGCAGGAGCAGGGACCAAACAATGGGAGCTCACCCCGTTACGGGGATTCGAAACTTGACTGGATATACATCAGCTTAAAAGAAGACGGGGTCCCTGTCACGGAATTGTAGAGTCGGAAGGGACCCTGAGGGTCATCTAGTCCAACCCGCTGCAAGGCAGGAATCGCAGCTAAAGCGTCCATGATAACAAGGTAGAAGAGAGCAGGGAGAGATCCCTTAAGGCAAAGCCACGACCGAGTGCTTATTTCTTATTTTTTTATTTTACTTTATGGTCATCTGTCACATATGTTTTAGCTGAGATTCCTGCACTGCAGCGGGTTGGACTAGATGACCGTTGGTGTCCCTTCTGACTCTACAATTCTGTGATTTATACGGGCAGGCAAGCCGCCTGCCGTAAGAGACTCTGTACCACGGTATTTCACCGTGGGTAAGGAAACCCCATTGTTACTGGCAAACGGGTCACTTGGGATGTTCAGTTACGCCTTTTATCCATCTTTGAGGGTGCTAAGGCTGAACTTATTTGTCAGCAGTTAGAATCGGTGTGTTAGGGTTGGGCAGGAGAACCCTGAGGGTCATCTAGCCCAACCCCCTGCAGTGCAGGAATTGCAGCATTAATTAATTAATTTGATACCTGCCGCTTGTTTAGTGATCTCTCAGGAATGGAAGGCTGCATCTTGCTACTCTTTCAGCATGTGGTTTTAAAAAGTCGTGCCCATTGCCGTTTCTGAAAAACTGATCCTATAAGATATGTGCTGTCAAAGGCACATATTGTTTTTGCTTGTTATTATGGAGCGCCTTTTGTGTTTTTATATTATAAACCACCCTGCGATCCTTGGATGAAGGGCAGTAAAGAAATTTAATAAATCATAATAATAGTAATGGGGACCCGCATATTTTGCCTCAGGTTGAGGGGCTGTTTGTGATTTATAGGACCAACCAATCTCATGGTTGGCACATGAGTGTGATTTTATCTGTTGACGTTTTATGAATTCCTCATATATTTTGCAATAAATTTGAACTTTGTACCCTGCCATGAAATATATTTTATGCTATACAGTGGTACCTCGGGTTACATACGCTTCAGGTTACAGACTCCGCTAACCCAGAAATAGTGCTTCAGGTTAAGAACTTTGCTTCAGGATGAGAACAGAAATTGTGCTCCGGCGGCGTGGTGGCAGCAGGAGGCCCCATTAGCTAAAGTGGTGCTTCAGGTTAAGAACAGTTTCAGGTTAAGAGCGGACCTCCGGAACGAATTAAGTACTTAACCCGAGGTACCACTGTACATTATTTCTTCAGCTTTTAAAACTTGTTATTCCTCTTCCCTTTATGTTTACTCTTTATTATGCATTTTAGTTTGTTGTCTCGTTTGTTGCATTTGTAAGAAAAGAAAACCACATTAGCTCACAGACTCTAGCCCGAATCTGCTTTTTTCTTTCTTTTTTAATTTGATTTTTCTTACCTGGAGAGAAATAGCTTTATTCACTGAGATCTGGTAAATAATATAATGGGGAGTCTTTATATTTTGCTTCATATATAAAGCATAATTATCTGCTTGAGTGGGGGGGGGGGGAGGCAATTGGCAACCCCTCAGCCAAGTCGCAGTGAATAGCATCCAAAGCTCCGCAAGTTATTTTGGCATATGAGGCCCCTTGCAAGACACCCTTTTGCTTGTGCATTTGTGGTGATTTTCCTCCTGGTGCTCTGGGCAAGGCCACACACAGCCCCACTCCCAAAACTGCATACCGTATTTTTCGCTTTATAGGACGCACTTTTTCCCCTCCAAAAATGAAGGGGAAATGTGTGTGCGTCCTGTGGAGCGAATGCAGGCTCCTTGGCTTCGCGGCGACACGCCTGTCCTGGAAGCCGGAGAAGGAACAGAAGGGTCTCCTTCTATTCCTTCTCCAGCTTCGCTGAAGGGTGCTGTGCCCTCTCCCTCTCTGCACAGCGCCTCTCCTGTGAAGGAGAGGCACTGCGCACAGAGAGAGAGAAGGCGCAGCGCCCCTTGAGCAATGCGCCTGTCCAGCGAAGCTGGAGGAGGAACAGAAGGGTCTTCTTCTGTTCCTTCTCCAGCTTCGCTGAAGGGCGCTGCGCCTTCTCCCTCTCTGCGCAGCACCTTTCCTGTGAAGGAGGGGCGCTGCGCAGAGAGAGAGAGAAGGCGCAGCGCCTCTTCAGCAACGCGCCTGTCCTGGCTTCTGCTTTAGCCCTGCGCAGCCTCTTTGGGCTGAGGGACGCGGGTGGCGCTGTGGGTTAAAGCCTCAGTGCCTAGGACTTGCCGATTGAAAGGTCGGCGGTTTGAATCCCCGCAGCGGGGTGCGCTCCCGTTGCTCGGTCCCAGCGCCTGCCAACCTAGCAGTTCGAAAGCACCCTCGGGTGCAAGTAGATAAATAGGGACCGCTTACTAGCGGGAAGGTAAACGGCGTTTCCGTGTGCGGCTCTGGCTCGCCAGAGCAGCTTTGTCACGCTGGCCACGTGACCCGGAAGTGTCTCCGGACAGCGCTGGCCCCCGGCCTATAGAGTGAGATGGGCGCACAACCCTAGAGTCTGGCAAGACTGGCCCGTACGGGCAGGGGTACCTTTACCTTTACCTTTAGCCTCTTTGGGCAGGGGGAGCCTTCATCCCGCTGACCTGAAGAGGCTTGGCACGGTTACCCCAGAAGCCAGAACAGCCACACGCTATCCGAGAAGCCAGATCCCTCTTGCTGTTCTGACTTCTGGGGTTCAGAATAATTTTTTCTTGTTTTCCGCCTCCCAAAACTAGGTGCGCCCTATGGTCCGGTGCGCCCTATGGTGCGAAAAATACGGTACACTTGCAATTGTTTGGAGGTGGTTGCGCTGCTCCATTTTGCAGTTGATGCATATTCCGTGGCTTCCTGCTGAAATGCTGTCACACTTCATACCACAAATGTTCCCGCTCCCCGTTTTTGTGGAGTTGCAGCCCCCCTCCAGGCAGCGGTCATGGGGCAACATCGGGGGAACCGTTGCCGAGCAAACAAAAGTAGAACAAATCCACCGTTAATGTGCTGTTACTGTGTAAGGAACATGTTGCACAATCCACTAGCGTTGAAAACCACCCATTGACTCCAGACGGCCTGAACCAGCTTTTGTTTTCTTTTGTTACTGGAGACGGTTGGACAGTTAAGGAACTTCTTTTTGTGGGACCGACTTCTTTTTCTGAAGCTGTACACTTCTGTTTGGTTGGAATGGCTTTTTTTCTAGCGATTGGTTTGCTTTTTAAAATAATTGTAGCCGTCTTCTTAGGCAGGAAGAACCAAATGCACAAATATAGGACGGGGGACGCCGACACCTGGCTTGCCAGTAATACATGTGAAAAGGATCTAGCGGTCTTGGTGGAACACAAGCTTAGCATGAGTCAACAGTGTGATGCAGCAGTGAAGAAAGCTATTGCTGTTCTAGACTGCATCAACAGAAATCTAGTGTCCAGATCAAGGGAAGTCATAAAAGGTAAAGGTAAAGGGACCCCTGACCGTTAAGTCCAGTTGCAGATGACTCTGGGGTTGTGGCGCTCATCTCGCTTTATAGGCCGAGGGAGCCGGTGTTTGTCCGCAGACAGCTTCCGGGTCATGTGGCCAGCATGACTAAGCCGCTTCTGGCGAACCAGAGCAGCGCACGGAAACGCAGTTTACCCTCCTGCCAGAGCGGTACCTATTTATCTGCTTGCACTGGCATGCTTTCGAACTGCTAGGTTGGAAGGAGCTGGGACCAAACAACGGGAGCTCAACCCGTCGCTGGGATTCGAACCGCTGACCTTCTGATGGGCAAGCCCAAGAGGCTCAGTGGTTTAGACCACAGCGCCACCTGCGTCAAGGGAAGTCATAGGCCCGCTGTATTCTGCCTTAGTCAGACCACACCTGGAATACCGTGTCCAGTTCAGGGCAGCAACATTTACGAAGGACGTTGACAAGCTGGAACATGTGCAGAGGAGGGCAATCAAGGGTCTGGAAACCAAGCCTTATGAGGAATGGTTGAAGGAGTTGGGTATGCCTGGAGAAGACAAGACTGTGGGGTGATGCGATAGCCGTCTGAAGGGTTGTCGCAAGGAACATGGAGCAAGCGTGTTTCCTGCTTCTCTAGAGGGTGGAGCCAGTGGGTTCAAAAAAACAAGAAAGGAGATTACGGTTAAACATTAGGAAGAACTTTTCTGGCGGTAAGAGCAGTTGAATGGACTTCCTCGGAAGGTGGTGGACTGGCTTTCATTGGAGGTTTTAAAGCAGAGTTTGGGGGGCTATCCATCCGTCAGGGAAGCTTTCACTGAGATTCCTGCATTGCATAGGGTTGGATTGGACTGGATCATCCCTTCCAACTCCACGGTTCTGTTTGCTTTAATAACTCTGTATTACATTGTTGTAACCGTGTAAGAAATCTTTATCAATCCATATATACGATGTTGGGAGAAAGCATCACTCCAAAATTCATTGCTTTTCTTCAGCCCACAGGGTACAGAACCATAGACCAGACTCAAACTGGATTATCCTCTCCTTCCACCGGAAAGAAAATGAACGAAACAGATCCAGTTCAGGTAAGAGATGTCTATAATGATATGGCTCTGTGCACGCAATATTTTGTTCTGGAATCAATGGAATTTCCAGCACTGGTATCCAGAGGCATTCATTCCTGCCTCTTCTTGGCTCTTCCATCTTGCTGAGAAGTTCAGAGTGACAGCGTCCCAGGAGAGGCGATGCTGTGTGGCAGCTCCTAAATTGTGGGACTCCCTCTCCACAGAGGTGTGTCTGACACCTCGGTATTCAGATTTTGGTGGATGCTGAAGAAATACCTCTTTACCCTGGCCTTAAATACCTGAGGTGTTTTTGGGGCCCACTCTATTTCCATGACCGCAATCTGTTTTAGCTGTTTCAGATTCTGAATCTTAAATTGTCATAACCCACCCTGGGACCTGCTGGTGAATGGCAGGTGGTGGTTGTAACAAATAATAATAATAATAATAATAATAATAATAATAATAGCTGAATTTTAATGCACAATTTCTTCTGATATACGCATTTTTGTACTTACCGTTTGCTTGGAGAACTACAATGCAAAATTCAGGGAAATGTGAACTTCAAAGGATGGGTGTGAAGTGCAAATCAGGTACTTTAAGCCACACTTCACACTCCACCCCACCCCCCCAAATTCCAACTGTGAAAAGTTAAAGTGCGGCTTAAATTTGCGACTGTACTGGCTTTTACAATATCGCTGCTGAAACAGACATACGGTAAAACGGAACAAAAAAAGTTTTCTTGCCGGTTTGCGAGCTGGAGACTGTTGTGCAATTGATTTCCAATGTCACTCATCGCTTTTCCTGTGTTTTACAGTGAAGTATAGATTTTTTAGGCGCTGTGGGTTAAGCCACAGAGCCTAGGACTTGCCGATCAGAAGGTCGGCGGTTCGAATCCCCGCGACGGGGTGAGTTCCCGTTGCTCGGTCCCTGCTCCTGCCAACCTAGCAGTTCAAAAGCACGTCAAAGTGCAAGTAGATAAATAGGTACCGCTCCGGCGGGAAGGTAAACAGCGTTTCCCTGCGCTGCTCTGGTTCGCCAGAAGCAGCTTAGTCATGCCGGCCACATGACCCGGAAGCTGTACGACGGCTCCCTCGGCCAATAAAGCGAGATGAGCGCCGCAACCCCAGAGTCAGTCACGACTGGACCTAATGGTCAGGGATCCCTTTACCTTTTTTATAGTGCTACGAACAGGTGTTTAACGCACTTGTGGGTCCTCTCTAGTACCTGTAGGATTTTCTTCTGCATTTGCCACTTACAGGGATTCTGGGGCTTGGCTACCTGGCTGAGTTCTCTTTGTCCTTGCAGGGGCTGGTGACCTTCGAAGATGTGGCTGTATATTTCACGGAGGGCCAGGCCGCTTTGCTGGATCCAGCCCAAAGGTCCTTGTACAAGGAGGTCATGCTGGAGAATTATGGGAACGTCGCCTCGTTGGGTAAGCAGCCTCATTTCCCATTTCGGCCAGAAGACTTTCTTGATGTCATATTGAGCAGAAGTTTGCTTTGCCTTAGGGACGCAGGTGGCGCTGTGGGTTAAAGCCTCAGCACCTAGGACTTGCCGATCGAAAGGTTGGCGGTTCGAATCCCTGCGGCGGGGTGTGCTCCTGTCGTTCGGTCCCAGCGCCTGCCAACCTAGCAGTTCGAAAGCACCTTCGGGTGCAAGTAGATAAATAGGGACCGCTTACTAGCGGGAAGGTAAACGGTGTTCTGTGTGCTGCGCTGGCTTGCCAGAGCAGCGATGTCACGCTGGCCACGTGACCCGGAAGTGTCCTCAGACAGCACTGGCTCCCGGCCTATAGAGTGAGATGAGCGCACAACCCTAGAGTCTGGCAAGACTGGCCCGTACGGGCAAGGGTACCTTTACCTTATGTCTGCTACGTCCAGGGTTTTTAGTGTGGCGGCCTCTGTCCCTTGGAATGCAGACCCCACCCTTTTCAATTCTTATTTGTATGTTTCAAAGGTTTACAAATATAATGCTTTCTAATTGATTTCCACTTGCCATTTGACTTCCCCTCCACCCCTCCGGAGTTTCCCTATCTTTTCTAATATCGCTGCATATTATAGCTATTCTGTGTCCTATGCTTTCCACTTGTTCCCAAATACTCATTTTATTGCAGTTCTTCATTCAGATACTACCTGTGTTTTTACATGTTTATAATTATGCTTTAAATATTCTGCAAAAGGTTTCCAATCCTCCTGCCTCTTCTAGATCTAGTTAAACTGGCCAATTGGAATGCACTCCCAAATGGACAGCTGGAAGTCATTTGCAGCACTGGAATCCAGGTGTCTGCTTAAAACTCACCTGTTCACCCACATTTTCCCTGTGGAGCGATCCAGCTATGTTTGATGTATCAAGCGGATCTATTACTCTGCAATGCGTTTTGCACTTTTATTATGAATGCAGTTGTTGACTTTATGCTGCTCATCCCATGATATGTGTTTAACGTTGGGGCAAGAGAAATTTTTGCAAGTAAAATAAATACATATATTGATCAGTGCCTTCCCCCTTCCCCTCTTATTTAAGAGAAGGAGTTTGGTGTAATTGTTTTTTAATGATTGGAAACAATGACGGCCATGTCCCGCTTCCACTTTCAGAGCCAGTAAGTGCCTCTGAATAACAATTGTGTGTAGAAATAATAATAATAATAATAATAATAATAATAATAATAATAATATATTATTTATACCCCACCCATCTGGCTGGGTTTCCCCAGTCACTCTGGGCGGCTTCAACAGAATATTAAAATACAATAACCTATTAAACATTATAAGCTTCCCTAAACAAGGCTACCTTCAGATGTCTTCAAAAAGTCGGGTAGTTGTTTTTCTCTTTGACATCTGGTGGGAGGACGTTCCACAGGGTAGGCGCCACTACCGAGAAGGCCCTCTACCTGGTTCCCTGTAACTTGGCTTCTCACAGGGAGGGAACTGCCAGAAGGCCCTCAGCGCTGGACCTCAGCGTCCGGGCAGAACGATGGGGGTGTAGACGCTCCTTCAGGTATACTGGGCCGAGGCCATTTAGGGCTTTAAAGGTTGGCACCAACACTTTGAATTGTACTTGGAAACGTACTGGGAGCCAGTGTAGGTCTTTCAAGACCAGTGTTATGTGGTCTCAGCAGCCGCTCCCAGTCACCATTCTAGCTGCCGCAACTAGCCTATTGTGTGAAAGTAATATTTCCATCAATTGCTCCGCCCACTTTTGCCTCTGGCCACGCCCACCAGAGGCATGTGGCCCTGGGAATATCAGGTCCCCACCCTGACCTGCGTGAACATAGCAAATGAATGAAATTAAAAAACAGAGATAGGTATGGGAGTTCAGGCAAATCCCTCTTGATTTTTCCCCTTCTTCTGATTTCCCAAGGAGGATCTGAAGACCCCAAGCCGGCCCTGATTTGCCAGCTGGAGCGAGGGAAAGAGCCGTGGGTGGCTAATCTTCGGCGCCTGGGCGAAGAGGCGCTCAAGGCAACCTCAGGTGAGACAGCATCCAAGTGGGTGGCAGGAGTGAGACCCTGCCTGCATGAACACCTCTGCTCTGAGATCTGCAATACAGCGGTACCTCGGGTTACATAAGCTTCAGGTTACATACGCTTCAGGTTACAAATTCCGCTAACCCAGAAATAGTGCTTCAGGTTAAGAACTTTGCTTCAGGATGAGAACAGAAATGGTGCTCCAGCGGCGTGGCAGCAGCAGGAGGCCCCATTAGCTAAAGTGGTGCTTCAGGTTAAGAACAGTTTCAGGTTAAAAACGGACCTCCGGAATGAATTAAGTACTTAACCCAAGGTAGCACTGTAATGGCAATAATCTCGCCCCTTCCATCCATTTTGAAAAAAGAGTGGCAGGGAAACAAAATACCAAATCAGGATGCAGTGCTTAAATAAAAAAACAAATAAATATGTATTTAATCCATTCTCAACACTGCCCTTTTTATTTGTCATCTGAAAAAAGGCCTCTCGCATTAGTACACCCATCATTCCTAGCTAGCAGGGCTAATGGTCAGGCATGATGGGAATTGGAGTCCAAAAACAGCTGGAGACTTGATCTGGAAACCCTGATCTAGATTAAGTCCATAACAAAATGTTACTTACTAGCACCACTGCTGAGAAGGATGCCTCAGGGAATTCAGGGATTTCAGCTGAATACTAATAACCCTTAGGTGAAGCATTTCCTTCCAGACGCAAAGAGTAAATTTTGCTTGTGTGTTTTCTCCCAACAGGAGACTTGAAGAAGAAAAACGTGTGTCCGGAGTGTGGAAGATGCTTCTCTGACATGTCTGTCCTCCTTGAACATCGGAGATGCCACTCGACATGGAGACCGTATAAATGCGTGGATTGCGGGAAATGTTTCCCTGGGTTTTCAGAGCTTTTGACGCACCACAGAGTCCACGTGGCTGAGAAAGCTTCTCAGTCCTCCGAGTCCGAGGAAGGTTTGGACATCAAAACAGTCATCGTTGGCCATCAGGGAATTCACACGGGAGAGAAACCTCACAAATGCTTGGAGTGCGGGAAGTCCTTTGATTTCAAGTCCACCCTGGCGACGCACATGCGCATCCACACGGGGGAAAAGCCTTACAAGTGTTTGGAGTGCGGGAAGTCGTTCGCTCGGAAAGGGAACCTTTCCGGTCACCGGAGACTCCACATGACCGAGAAGCCTCACAAATGCATGGAGTGCGGGATGTCCTTTGCGCAGCAGTCGAAGCTCGTCGGTCACCAGAGAGTCCACGAGGAGCTTTTCAAATGCTTCGAGTGCGGGAAGTGTTTCCCTCACAAGGGCCTTCTCATTGAACATCGGCGGGTCCACACGGGAGAAAAGCCTTTCAAGTGCTTGGCCTGCGGGAAGTACTTTTCCCGGAAGTCAAACCTTGACGATCACCAGAGAATCCACACGGGGGAGAAGCCGTACAAGTGCTCGGTGTGCGGGATGTGCTTCGCGGGCCGCTCGTCCCTCACCTACCACTACCGAGGCCACACCGGAGAGAAGCCCTTCAAGTGCCTGGAGTGCGGGAAGGATTTCGCCGACCGCTCGTCGCTCCAGTACCACGAGAGAGGCCACACGGGAGAGAAGCCGTACAACTGCTTCGAGTGCGGGAGGAGCTTTGCCAGTCGTTCGTCTCTGGTTTGCCACCGGAGGACCCACACCGGCGAGAAGCCTTACCAGTGTGTGGAGTGCCTGATAAGCTTTGCCGACAAGTCGGGCCTCATATGCCACGAGAGGGTCCACACAGGGGAGAAGCCGTACACTTGCCTGGAGTGCGGGAAATCGTACTCCTTCCGCTCGTCCCTCGTTTGCCACGAAAGGTCCCACACGGGAGAGAAACCTTACCAGTGCCTGGAGTGCGGGAAGTCTTATTCCGACAGGTCGTCCTTTGTTTACCACCAGGGGACGCACACAGGAGAGGAACGCTTCAAGTGTCTGGAGTGCGGGGTGTGTTTTGCGCCAAAGCGGCCACTTTCCAGGATCCATGGCATCCCAGTGGTACAGCACCCGATTCACCATGAGAGCTGCTCTTTCTATCTCAAGGCAAGTGAGGAGCCTGCCAAGTGATTGAGCCAGTGTGGTGTAGTGGTTAAGAGCGGTAGTCTCGTAATCTGGGGAACCGGGTTCGCTTCCCCGCTCCTCCACATGCAGCTGCTGGGTGACCTTGGGCCAGTCACACTTCTCTGAAGTCTCTCAGCCCCACTCACCTCACAGAGTGTTTGTTGTGGGGGAGGAAGGGAAAGGAGATTGTTAGCCCCTTTGGGACTCCTTAAAGGGAGTGAAAGGCAGGATATCAAATCCAAACTCTTCTTCTTCTCTTCTTAAGACAGGGCATTGGGGTCAGGCTTCAGGCAATCCGACCCTTCCCACAGTAGGCAGCCAAGAGGCAGATGTCAAGAAGAGCTCTTACCAAGCCTTTTATTCACTATTCACAGAGAGAGGCTTTGAAAAGTGCCTCTCCTTTCCAGGAATGGTGTTGTTCCGAGTAAAGTCCCACCCCTTCCATCTCTCCTATCACACGTCAAGGAATTCTAATAAATTTAATAATAATAATTTTTTATTTATACCGCACCCTTCCCGGTTCAGAAAACCAGGTTCAGGGCAGCTAACAACAAATTTAAAACACTTAAATGATGCAACAAAACACAGCATAAAATACAGTCTACAACGTGAATAACAATAAATTCTGAATTCAAAAATCAGTTTAGGGGGGAAATCCATCCAATAAACATTAGATGATCACCAGGGCTAGCTGGCTAAATTAGTCCTATTTGGGCCTGCGAGGAGACCAGGGGAGAATTAGCTGTGGGATCCCAGAGCGGGTAATCTTCATAAAAAGGGGAGGGAAGGAAGGGGAATAAAAGATCAGGCTAAGTTCAAATTGAAAGCCAGGCGGAATAGCTCTGTCTTACAGGCCCTGCGGAAGGAAGTTAAATCCTGCAGGGCCCTGGTCTCATGGGACGGAGCATTCCACCAGGTTGGAGCCATCACTGAGAAGGCCCTGGCCCTGGTGGAGGATAATCTGACTTCCTTAGGGACCGGGACCTCTAAACTGTGATTATTCATGGACCTTAAGGTCCTCTGCAGGGCATACCAGGAGAGGCGGTCCCATAAATACGAGGGCCCTAAGCCACAAAGGGCTTTAAAGGTCAAAACCAGCACCTTAAAGCTGACTCTACTCCACCGGGAGCCAGTGCAACTGGTAAAGCACTGGGTGAATATGCTCCCATGGCAGGGACCCTGTGAGGAGCCTCGCTGCAGCATTCTACTCAATATTGATCATTCTACTCAATATTGATTCCTAGCAGATTCCAGTGTATAGTTAGCAGAGTAAAAACTTAAGCTCATTGCGGGATTCCCCAAAAAAAAATAGCCCAGAGGCAATGAATATTTCTTTAAAAAAAAAAAAATTATTAACAGGCCAATCACATCACATTATCACATTGATTCCAAATTATACAGCCAAATTTTAAATTTTGTTGAGGGTACCCATACATCAAGCTCAGCTCGAGTCCAAAACAGCATCGCTTATCTTACTGCATTAATTAGACAGTTCTGTCCAGTTTGATCCGGAAAGTCCTTTGTTACTTCTTTTCTCTTCTTGTTGTTATCATAAATTCCTTTCTTTGCAATCTCTGATGATTTTCACAAGCAGGGTAACAGCTGGCATTCTATGTGGATTTTGTACTTTTCCAAAAATCATATCGATCCGGGACAGCCTCTGTACAACGCTTCCATAAACAAAGTTAATCTCCGACCTGTCCTTTATTTTTCTCAGGCTTACCAAATAACAAATGAGTCTGGGGGTTCTGTCAGGTCTAACTTACATTCCAACATTCCTTCTCTTTCAAACAACCCCAGTCCTTCTTCCTCGGTAAACCTGTCATGGCGAGACGCCATTTTTTAACTGCGTCATAAAAATTTCTTCCTTTCTCACCGTTCTACAGTCTTCTTTCCTTATACTCCGTCCCACATAGTTCTTAAAATCCTGCCTATGATTCATAGAAACGTGATGATCTTGTTTATATCTGGGGTGGAGGGTTATTAATATCACATCATGCAAAGAAAAAAAGAGTTTTTTCCTCCCCCCCCCCCTTCGTTCCAAACATACAGTCTCCTTATGGTGATTCATCAGAAGATTTACTTATCCATCCGTCACTCCTGGTCGCAGAGATCCATTAATCAGCAGTCTTATCTTCGAGCTTTACTTGATGTATGTGCTTTCAGCTTCGTTTCCAATCATATGTTTCCAATTATAATTCCAGCTGAAGCAACCAGCACGCGCTAATTGGAATCGGCGTCAGGAAGGTCTGACTTCACCGAGGGCCTTTTGCCAAGTGTTCGGCACCCCCATCACTCGTTTCAGGGGGTGCATTGTGAACACCGCTGGCAGGGCAGTTCTCCTCCACATCCTGGAGGAGTTCAGGAAGGCTACATACTTCCCATAGTAGCCCCTTAGTACCTCGTATGGGTCAGAGAGATGTTATTGTCGGCCATCTTCCAACGCGCCACCTGTGGCCCCTGAGGCAATGAATATTTCATCCAGTAGAGCTTTATTGCTACTGAAGGCAAATGAGCATCACGGTCACAAATCCAATATTTTCAGCATTGGCACTGTCCATAAGAAATCCCAGTTGCAACAGACTTAACTTATAATAAGACTAAACTTAACACTAAGCATACTTTGTACAGAACACCACACCAGAAAGAAAGAGAGAAACCCAGGCTGTTTCTGGCATAGTCAGCTGTTTCTGGCTGTTTCTATTATAGTCAGCATGACCTTGACAGAAGAGAGAACAGGACCAGTTTAAGCCAGCTGTACTCAGCTTCTCTGAAGGAATAACCCAAACATCATGGAGTTCTGCTTGGTTCTTTCACACACAGAAACTTCCAGAAGCTTCCAGAACCCTCTTGAATTAAGTAGAATAGGAAAGATCTCTACACATCAGATCAGTACTTTCTGCACTAAGAAACTGAGACTTTCTGCCTCTGAGCTTTCTGTTCTCCTACTCTTAATGCCCGCTGGGTCCTGGGAGAGTGGAGGTCTGGCATGCTTTCCAAAGACACTGAGTCTGTCAGCTGTCTCTCCCCTGGTTCTGCTTGTTCCTCCTGCTCCTCTCCCAATATTCCCCAGCTTCTCCCCTCTGCAGCCTCTAAACTCTGACCTTCTGCAAACCATTGTTCTGAATCTATACTGTCTATACTGTCTCTCTCTTCTCTGGGAAGTGCAGGAGGAGAAGGGGGCGGTCTCCCCCATTCCCCCTCAGTCCAGTCCCTAATATCTGAAGGCACATTCCCTAGCCCTTGCGGGTGACATTGAGGCTGGGTGTCAGCAGCCAGTGTGGCCAAGACCACTTAGAAACCCCACTCACATATCCCTCTCCGGCCCCACAGGTCTATAAGAAGAGCCCGCCTGCTGGATGAGGCCAGAGGCCTACCTTGTCCTGCTTTCGAAATGGTTAACCAGATGCCAGGGCCGGATTAAACCCTGCGTAGTCGAAATCTCGGGCCCTTCTCATGCGTGGGCTCTGGTGGTATAACATTGAACTAAGAAAGCTTGCTTGCAATTTTCTTTCAAGATCACATCAATATTATTTTGATTCGTTGTCACAGGGCCCCTAAAAGGGCCCATAGACATACTCTGCCAATTTGGAAATCCGGCACTGCCAGATGCCCCAATGGGAAGCTTGGAAGCAGGGCTCGAGGGCCACAGCGCTCTCTTCCCTTGCAGCCTGCAACATGTGGCCTCCAACTGTGAGGGTGAAACACAGCCAGCGTGGCTGGTAGCCATTGATGGACTTATACTCCGTGAATTTGTCTTAATCCAGGTGTGGGGAGCCTTTTTCCAAGCACAATTCAAAGTGATGGTTGTTGTTGTTGTTGTTTAGTTGTTTAGTCGTGTCCGACTCTTTGTGACCCCCTGGACCAGAGCACGCCAGGCACTCCTGTCTTCCACTGCCTCCTGCAGTTGGGTCAAACTCTTCTCATGAGGTGGCCAAAGTATTGGAGCCTCAGCTTCACAATCTGTCCTTCCAGTGAGCACTCAGGGCTGATTTCCTTAAGAATGGAGAGGTTTGATCTCCTTGCAGTCCATGGGACTCTCAAGAGTCTCCTCCAGCACCATAATTCAAAAGCATCCATTCTTTGGCAAAATAAAAAATTCCTTCCAGTAGAACCTTAAAGACCAACTAAGTTAGTTCTTGGTATGAGCTTTCGTGTGCATGCACACTTCTTCAGATACACTGAAGAAGTGTGCATGCACACGAAAGAAGAAGTGTGCATGCACACGAAAGCTCATACCAAGAACTAACTTAGTTGGTCTTTAAGGTGCTACTGGAAGGAATTTTTTATTTTGACTATGGCAGACCAACACGGCTACCTATCTGTAACTAATTCTTTGGCGATCAGCCTTCTTTATGGTCCAGCTCTCACTTCCATACATCACTACTGGGAAAACCATAATAATAAATTATTATTATTATTATTATTATTATTATTATTATTATTATTATTATTATTATTACTACTACTACTACTACCCCTCCAGACACTGCTGAACTGCAACTCCCATCAGCCACAGCGAGCATGCTGAATGGCTGCGGTTGATGGGAGTTGTAGTTCAGCAACCTCTGGCAAGCCAAAAGTTTCCCTGGTCCAGTCCTCTTATCAAAGCCAGCCAGAGTCGGTGGCCATCATTGCCTCTTGTGGGAACAAATTGTTCCCTGTCAGAGCTGCTCCCAGATCCTAGCTCACAGAGGATCACGCTAGCCAGCGTTCACTTTATAAAAGTCTTTATTGAGTTACAGTTTCCATTTCCAAGCTGCCGCGTGCAGCTCTACGTCTTATAAGCTAGACCGGCGAAGCTCCGTCTGAGTCTCCGCCCCTTGTACACCAACTTAATACCCTCACCTTACTCCACCTTTTCCGCCTGACCGTCCTTCTCTGGGTCCCTCTGCCCCCCGTGGTCTCTTCCTTCCTGGATTCCTCTGACGCTGACCCCCCCGGACCCTCCTGTCTCCTTGCGTCGGGCTTTAGGACCTGGCTCCCTTTCCGGGCTGCTTACTGCGCCGCCTTCCTGTGCATTTGAACTTGGCGCGCGCGCCCAACCTGCCACTTTCCGCTTGACGGTTTCTTCACTCCCCGATGGAGGTGTGGCCACTCCTGACTCATGCCCTCCTCCCTGCTGCGAGCTGCCAGAGCTCGATACCTGACGCCCTTCCTCTCCACTGCACTCTGCTGGGGACGCTGGCCCCGATTTCCAACTGCTGCCCTCTGAACCCCCGCTGGCCCCTTCTTCCTGGGGTGTCCCCCTAGGCTCCCCCTTTGCTCTGGCCACTGGCGCTCCTTTCTGTGAATCTTCTGATTCACTGGAAAGACTCGGAGATCTCGGGTCGTCGTCATCACTCATCTTTTCTTCGGACTCCTCCCCCTCGCTCTCTGTTTCCTCCCTTGCCCTCGCCTCTGCTCCTGAACCCCTGACATTCCCTTTTGTACATCCCAAATATTCCAACACTCAGCTTCGTTGGAATATTCCCCGAGTTCTCGTATTATGAGAGAGGGAGAAAAAGCTTACCCCCGTCTGCTTTCTCCACACCTTTGTAGGTAAAATGTATCTGGTTTCTATTGTTCAACAGGTTGGTCTGTTAACCTTGTTCATATGAGGCATGTGCTTCAGTGACTTTTGTGTTAGGGTGTCTAGAACGTTCAAATTCCAAAATGAGGGGCACTTAAAAGTTTTAACATGACTTGGGAATTTGATAGATATACAGTGGTGCCTCGCAAGACGAAATTAATCTGTTCCGCGAGTCTCTTCGTCTTGCGGTTTGTTCGTCTTGCGAAGCACGGCTATTAGCGGCTTAGCGGCTTTAAGAAAAAGGAAACAAACTCGCAAGAACTCACAAGACGTTTTGTCTTGCGAAGCAAGCCCATAGGGAAATTCGTCTTGCAGAGCGACTCAAAAAACGGAAAACTCTTTCGTCTAGCGAGTTTTTCGTCTTGCGAGGCATTCGTCTTGCGAGGTACCACTGTATTGGTTAAATTAATACAATTTAGTTTTGCCTGGTAAGTAAAATGTGTGTAGAATTCCATAGAAATAATAAAAAATGGTTGCCAAATACTAGCAGTTTAATAATAATAATAATAATAATAATAATAATAATAATAATAATAATAATAATAATAATATAGAATTACCTGACATTTTCAGAAGGTAAATTTAAAATCCTTTGCTTTTCTGAAAGCAGCTTGTGGGCTTCTTCATCAAAGGTATGCTTGCCAAGCTAAATGTAGTCCAGTCACAAAAATAATAGCAGATTTGTATGCCTCACACCCAAAAACATATTTTAAAGACCATTCTCTGAAGAAATTAGCAAAAAATTATATTTCACCCCTTAAAATGACATATGCATGATTTTCTTTTATCTGTTGATGGTATTAATATAATTCTTATACGGCATTCTTTTTTCCCCAGTTGAAAATGGAATCAGAAATAAAAGAAGAAAAATGAAGACAGGAACCCAGGAACAGCAACCTGATCTTCGTGTGAAGGAAGTTGCAGTATCTCTGTTTACACAATATCTCGGTTGAGTGTCTTGCATCACTAGCACTTCGATGTGGCGAGTAAGGATCGGACAAAGGAGGCCTCTGTACCTGTAATATTAGGCTTTGTTCTTGGAAAAGGTTTTCCATGGAGTTTCGGGCTGTATACATGCTACGTATACCTTTGAAACAAGTTTGAAGCACATTATTTCCCTCAGAGAATTCTGGGCACTGTAGTTTTCCACTCACAGAGAAGCAATCCCCAGCAGTGCTGAAGAAAACTACAGTGCCCAGAATTCTTTGAGGCAGGGAGAATGTGCTTTGAAGTTTGCATACACACCATACATGGAAAACAGATTTGAAAAACAGTCTTCCCCCAAAGAACCCTGGGAACTGTAGGCTGTTACAGGTGCTGGGAATTGTAGGTCTGTGAGGGGTAAACTACACTTCCCACAATTCTTTGTAGAGGCGTCATTTTCTTTGAATGTGTAGTGTGTGTATAACCTTTGAAACATCCCCTTAGTCCAGAGCAGGCACAGGCAAATTCGGCCCTTCAGGTGTTTTGGGACTACAACTCCCATCATCCCTGACAACTGGTCCTGTTAACTAGGGATGATGGGAGTTGTAGTCCCAAAACATCTGAAGGGCCGAGTTTGCCTATGCCTGGTCCAGAGGGTGAGCCTGTGGCTCTTCAGATATCATTGGACTCCATCTCCCATCAGCTCCTGGGTTTGTAGTTTTCCTTCTCCCTCACAATCCTTTTTTCCTTTCGTGTTTTTGGTTTTTAAGAAAAATTGCAGCACAGCTGACAGCTGTGGGATTATGGGAGTTGTAGTTGAGCAGCATCTGGCCACAGGTTCCACACCTCCTCTGTAGTCCCTATACCCTGCCTATAGCAACTAAGTCTTAAATGCATTAAATAAATGCAACTTCCACTGTTCTTTCCTCCCTCTCCCACCTGTGGTTTCACGCATATGGAATTTTAGATTGTAAGCTCCTTGGGGCAGGGACTGGCCCTCTTGTGGTTTGTGAAGCACCATTTGGGAAACCCACACAAGCCTGGGCTATGAGTCAAGGGCTGTTGGGAGGTGGAAATGAAATGAGAACATCATGGCAACCTGGCCAACTAGCTTCACCCTCCTAGAAAGAACACTTAGAAGTACTTTGCAAATGAAGAACTGGTACCTGGGCTGCTTGTTTTCCTTCTCCCTCCCCAATCCTTTTTCCTTTCATGTCGTGTTTTTTTTAATAGAAAAATTGCAGATCAAAGAGCAAGGACGATCGTGCTAAACCTGGTCAGGGAGACCTTTTTTTTAGCTAAAGAGCAGGGTAAAAAAATACTTTTAAAGAGCACTAAATGAAGCAATAACAGTTGGAGACTGAGAAGGGACTGCTCCTATTCCGTGCTTCAAGAAGGGACTTTTAGCCACGTCTAAGGACTGCCAGGAGGGGAAAGTTAACTTGCCAACGTTGAACATGAGCACTTCATACCTACTTGGGGCAGCTGGAGACTTCTGAAACGTAGGAAAGAAATGTCCAGTTCTCTTTTTTTCCCCCTCCAAAAGGATGTTGTACAGCTGGAAAAAGTACAAAAATGGGGAACCAGAATGACCAAGGGGCTGAAGCAGCTGCCTTGCAAAGAGAGGTTGCAGCGTTAAGGGCTTTTTTGGTTTAGGGAAAAGATGGGGAAGGAAAGGGAGGGAGGGGACAAGGTGGAGATGTATAAAATTATGTATGGTATATAGAGTAAGCAGAGAGGGAGGAGTTTTTCTCCCTCTCTCATCACACCGGGGACATCGAATAAAGCTGAACGTTAGAAGGTTCAGGAGGCACTTCTTCAGACAGCACATAGTTAAAAACTATGGAACTCACTGCCACAAGGTGGCCACCAACTGGGGCGGCTTTAAAAAGGGGGTGGAGCAAATCCACTATCCGTGACTGCTACCCGCTGTTGGAGGCAATATATAAGATAATCCATTAGGGAATCATGCAGTGAACATTTCCCTCCATTTCCAAACCCTCAGTGGACACCCTCAACATTCCCCGGGGCCTGGAAGCTCGCAGGTTCTTGTTTTTATTATTAATATCCTTTTTCTTTTAGCTTACAAATCAATGTGCTTCTGCACACTTAGGAAGCTCGCACGGTGTACTGGGGGTGGGGGCCGGGAACCCCCACTGCCTTTATTTCTTAAAGTTAAGTGGTATGCACATGTTATTAAATCAATAAAAATCAGTAGATTTTGGGGGCAGCTCCGTTTCTCTGCTAAGCAGAAAGGCAAGAAGGACCACCAGTAGTTCAGTACCGCAGGCGGCGATGCCTCCAAAGAGACAGTGTTATTTTAATGGTTACAAAAATATGGAAATTTGTTCCGTATAGTCTGAGAGGAAACATACAGTAAGATCTCATTAGATTATTTGATACACCTGGAAAGATCATAGAGAATCATGTTTAGTACAGAAGATTATTAGCCATGCTGATCGTTACTATTTCACGTTCAAACTGGTTTCTCTCTTACTTTTGGCTCTTATGAGAGAGACACATGCTTTTGATTGAGCGTTTTTTAAAAAATGTTGCCCTCCAGAGGTTTGGGGAAGGGGACAGCACATCTGCCATACATGCAAAAGACTATACCATTGGTTTTTCCAGCTCAGTATTGTCCATGAGGGTGGCGCTGTGGGTTAAACCACAGAGCCTAGGACTTGCTGATCAGAAGGTCGGCGGTTCGAATCCCCGCAATGGGGTGAGCGCCCATTGCTCAGTCCCTGCTCCTGCCAACCTAGCAGTTCGAAAGCATGTCAAAGTAGATAAATAGGTACCGCTCTGGTGGGAAGGTAAATGGCGTTTCCGTGTGCTGCTCTGGTTCGCCAGAAGCGGCTTAGTCATGCTGGCCACATGACCTGGAAGCTGTATGCCGGCTCCCTTGGCCAGTAAAGCGAGATGAGTGCCGCAACCCCAGAGTGGGTCATGATTGGACCTAATGGTCAGGGGTCCCTTTACCTTTACTATTGTCCATGCTGGCTGACAGAAGCTCTGCTTTCAGACAGGGGTCTTTCTTGGCTCTTCCCGGTGATGCCTGCGGTTGAGTCTGGGAGATGATTACCAGTGGAACTCACCGCCTCAGGAGGGGCTGCAGGTTTGTAAGCAGAGGCTGGAATGCTGCAGCTGCATCTTGCATTGCAGATCCCCCACTGAGCATGGGTGGGATACATCGGTGGTTGCCAACAAGGGGCCCGTGGGCGCAAGGACACTCTTGAAGTCGTCCCCTTGTGCCTGCAAACCCTCTGAGGAAGTTGGAAAAGTGACGCTCTTTCCCAGTTCCTCTTTCATTTCTTTGTGCTCAGATAACTTCTTGACAAGACTTTTGCTCAGATCCCTTGGAAAAGTGAGGCAAAGCAGATGACTATTTTGGGTGGCGGGGTGGGGAAGTTGAAGATTGAGTTGACCAATGGGAGTGATGCTCACTACAAAAATCCCAAATGTGCCCACGAGGCCTGATAGTGTTGGCAACCCCCTGGGACACATACCTCATATGGCCCTCCCTACTCTAGAATTCTGTTTTTAACTCATATACAGTGGTACCTCGGGTTAAGTACTTAATTCGTTCCGGAGGTCCTTTCTTAACCTGAAACTGTTCTTAACCTGAAGCACCATTTTAGCTAATGGGGCCTCCTGCTGCTGCCTTGCCGCCGGAACACAATTTCTGTTCTCATCCTGAAGCAAAGTTCTTAACCGGAAGCGCTATTTCTGGGTTAGCGGAGTCTGTAACCTGAAGCGTATGTAACCCGAGGTACCACTGTATAACATTGGAGAAAGTTTCTCACTTCTGGAACCTTTGAATGGCTATGTTTGTTTTAAGCCTCTTCCTATATAAATAAGCTTCTGTTTTCTGTTGAGCAAAACCGATATCCCACGTCCTTGTTTTTGCGAGTAGAAAATAACTGTCGTGTTCTCATCCGTTATTTAAATAAAAAGTTAGCGCGAAATGCAGTCTCGGTTCTAGTAACTCATTGTGTCTTTTCGCTTTTGTTACTCGAGAGCTTCCATGTGTCTTGCAACAGCTGTTTCTCAAATAATAATATCAACAAAGATTTCAGTGTCGTATAAGGAGAGTCCTGCAGAATCAAACTTAAGGCTCACCCGCTGGGTGCAATGTTGTCCTTTAGGTCTTCCTCTGCCACCCATGAAGTCCACCTCTGCCCCCTTGATCATGAGGTGGGGAGAGAGGGAGGCTACCCTTCTATCCCTTGAAAAGCACATGGAGTTGAAGAAGGAAGTCTGAAGACGGGCATTCTTTCCCACTTCCTCTTCCAGCTCTACGTGCTTTCCAAGGCTCAGGTTGTGGCCGCATTCACACCATATTTTGAAACTAGGGTTGCCGTACATCTGGACATACCCAGAATACTGCAGTCGGAAGCAGTGTCCGGGCGGAAATTGTCAAAATGGGAGAATCCGGATGTAAGGCAACCCCTGTCGGCAGTGCCGTTTTTGCCATTTTTCATTAAAAAGAACTCTTTTTTTTTTTTTTGCAATTTTGCTCAAAAATCTCAACAACTTTGGGCAAAACTAAAAAAAATGCTCAACAAATTTTGTGTATGGATTTTCATTTTTTGATATACAGTGGAACCTCAGATTGAGGACGTAATCCATGACGGAGGCATGTCCACAACCTGCAGCGTTCGCATCCTGAAGTGCCATGTCTGCGCAGGTGCGATTTGGTGCTTCTGCGCATGCGCAAGTGGTGAAACCCAGAAGTAACCCGTTCTGGTACTTCCGAGTTTCCCACAGGCCGCAACCCGAAAACACGTAACCTGAAGCGTCCGTAACGTGAGGTATGACTGTATGGCATGCCTATGAAACCATTTTGCCATTTTATATAGTCAGTTTCCCTCAAAGAATTCTGGGTATTGTCATTGGGTAAAGACAGTTGCCTTGACGAGTTTTCTTTTATGCTGGCTAAACATTTGTTTTTCAGCAGACAAAGATACTTCACTTAGTGAAGTTCTGTCAGACCCCTTCCCTTCCCTTCTCTTCGCTACAACTGTTTTGCATAAAGTTACGGCAACTTGGGCTTTCAGAGGATCTCCTGGGTGCTGTGGCTTTTCCAATCGCCAAGGCCATGTTAAAAACTAGGCTGTGGGACATAGACCACCAGGAACTAATCTCAGCTGCGGAAAAAACATGTTCCCCTCTTTATTTTTGACTCCCCTGGGAGCAGGAATTTAACCTTAATTATTTACAATTTTTGTTTAACCCGCAAGAAAGAAGGGCTTTTTCGCTGGCTAGGTTCAATTGTAATCCTTCTAACCTCCTTTGGGGTAGGTTGGCGGGTATGGCAGAAGGAGATAGGAACTGCACATGTGATGCCCACCTGGTGGAAACTCTAGCTCACATGGCCCATAATTGCAAAATATATGATGATCTCCACCAACAATTCTTAGACCACCTATGTATCCCAACATGGAAACCAGAGACAGAGGTTATACGCTTCTTATTACAGGGGAGAGACCAGGGGCTCACCAAGACAGTAGCCAAGTTCCTCTATTTGATTTTCTGCCGCCAAAGTACGCTACAGGACCCTGCCCTTGCTGGAGTCCCACAGAGGTGAAATAGATTGCTCGCCTCTTCTTCCCTTTGGCAAATGACTGTACAGTGGTACCTCTGGTTCCGAATGGGATCCGTTCTGGAGGCCCGTTCGCAACATGAAAAGAGTGCAACCTGAAGCGCCGTATCTGCACAGGTGCGCGGCGCAATTTGGTGCTTGTGCGCATGCGTGAAGCGTGATTTAGCACTTCTGCGCATGCACAAGCGGCGAAACCCAGAAGTAACCCTTTCTGGTACTTCCGGGTTGCCGTGGAATGTAACCTGAAGGAACGTAACATGAAGCAAACATAACATGAGGTATGACTGTACTGTTGAAATGGCGATGAGATCGCATTGGCCTATTTATTCTGAATGTTTGTAAGTGATGCCAATAAAAGTGTGATGATGATGATTTGCAGGGATAGTGCCCCTCCGAGCCTTGGTGTCAAATATAAAGGACTTTCAAAGAAACCGGCAGAGAGGGACTGAGAGGGATTTAAGGGCCTCAGACGTGAGGTTGCCAGGCTGAGAGTAGATGGACTAATGGACAATGGTTCTGGGATTGAAACCGGGGAAGGGAGGGTGGGGTTTGGAAATCCAAAGGGTGTTTGATTTTTTCTATTCTTTTTTTTCTAACTTTGCGTTGTTATTAGTATAAAAATGGGGAATCCGTGGAAGGGAAACTGGGTTGACCTTAGGAAAAAAAATTTAAGTATAAATGATTGATGTATATAAGTTAAAAGTTGATACGTAAATTGAATTAAATATAATAACAAATTAAGGTTAAAAATTTAGGGATAAGAACTTGTTGGATAAATATTTGGACATGGAATACAAGAAGGGGAGGTGAAGGGAAGTTCTGGAAAAAAAAAGTTATTGAAAATTTGGATTGTAAAGGGGGAATTTTTCTTTCTTGTTCTTTTTTCTTTTTATTTTTTGTACTACTTGAAACTTTAATAAATATTATTTTTTAAAAAAAGAAAAGATGATGATGATTTGTTAAGGGTGCAGAGAGCTTAGGGAGACGCCCTATTCCCTGCCCAGAGTCATAATTCCTTGGGTGGCTTAACTGTCAGTCCCTCTTCCCAAGAAACACTGGGAATTGTAGCTCTGTGAGGGGAATTGGGCGAGTGGAAGTGTCTCCTGACAACACTCAGCGCCCTTAACAAACGACAGCAATACACACTCCTCTGCTAATGTACAGATGGAGTCACTCATTTTTTCCTTCAGCACTAAAGAGATGATAGCCGTCTTCCAATATCTCAAGGGCTGTCCCATGGAAGAGGGCGCACGCTTGTTTCCTCCTGCTCTGGAGGGTAGGACTCGAACCCATGGCTTCAAGTTACAAGAAAGGAGATTCCTACTAAACATCAGGGAAAACTTTCTGACGGTAAGAGCTGTTTGACAGTGGAAATGTCTCCCTCTGGAGGTTGTGGACTCTCCTTCCTTGAAGGTTTTTAAGGAGAGGTTGGAGGGCCCTGTGTCAGGGATGCTTTCTCTGAGATTCCGGCATTGCAGGGGGTTGGACTAGATGACCCCTGGGTCCCTTCCCGCTCTGTGATTCAGTGATAAACGTGCATTTGTTTACCCTGTTTTCCAGTTTGTCCCTGATTTAAAAGCCATGGTGTTTATTCTGAAAAGTCACTAGTTTCTAGGAAATCATTAATTCTCAGCCTGCACGACAAGCTAGGCCTCATCTGCACCAGAAAGTTCTTCCTGGAGTTTATTTGGAATCCCCTTTCTTGCAACTTGAAGCCATGGGTTCGAGTCACGCCATCCAGAGCAGGAGAAAACAAGCATGTTCCCTCTTCCACGTGGCAGCCCTTGAGATCTCATATCTCCTCTTTTCCTGGCTAAACACACCCAGCTCCTTCAAACATGCCTCATAAGGCTTGGTTTCCAAACCCTTGATCATCTTGGTTGCCCTCCTCTGCACCCGTTTCGGCTTGTCAATATCCTCCTTAATTTTTTCCAAAAAAATGTTTTTAGTAAGCAATTTCAACATAACAAATTATCAAATCATATAATCACATATATTATTTTCCCCCTTTCCTCCCTCCCTCCCCCCCGACTTCCCTCAGCCCCTCTCTCTGATTTCTCTGCACATACTATTCTCTGCATGTTATAAAATTATACATACCCTTGCGTTGTCTAACATGTTATCAACCAATAAATTTGTGTAGGTTTATTCAAAACCTGCCAAGGAGTCCAGTTCATTTTGCATATCCTCCTTAAATCGTGGTGCTCAGAATTGGACGGTACAAGCTGTTCAACGGTGGAACGGACTCCCTCGGAAGTTGGTGGACTTTCCTTTCTTGGAAGTTTTTAAGCAGAGGTTGGAGGGCCACCTGTCGTGTATGATTCAGTTGAGATTCCTGCATCGCAAGGCAAGGGTTGGACTACAGGACCATTGAGCTCCCTCCCAACTCAGCAATTCTGATTTTATGAAAACAGCACAATGCCACTTTAAACAGGCATGGCTCCCCCTTACTAAATCTCTGTGGGAACCATAGCCCTGGGAGGGTAAGAACAAATAATAATAGAATTGTAGAACTGGAAGGGACCCCGAGGGTCATCTAGACCTACCCCCCTCCCAGCAATGCAGGAATAATTTTGCCCTGCCTGGGGCTCGAACCCACAACCCTGAGATTAAAAGAGTCTCCTGTCCTGGAGAGCTGTTGCCAGTCAGAGCAGACATCCTGAGCTAGATGGACCAACAGTCCGACTTGGCCTAAGGTAGATTCATAGCTGTCAACTTTTCCCTTTTCTTGTGAGGAATCCTATTCGGAGTAAGGGAATTTCCCTTAAAAAAAGGAAAACGTTAACAGCTATGGGTAGATTCCTAATGTCCCTGGTGCAGTTTTGAACCATGATGTGAAATCAATTCCTTCTCCCTCCAGCGGCAGTTCCCTGCTTGCCTCCTACTCTGCCTTTGTTGTCGTTTAGTCGTGTCCAACTCTTCGTGACCCCATGGACCAGAGCACGCCAGGCACTTCTGTCCTCCACTGCCTCCTGCAGTTTGGTCAAACTCATGCTGGTAGCTTTGAGAACACTGTCCAACCATCTCATCCTCTGTCGTCCCCTTCTCCATGTGCCCTCCATCTTTCCCAGCATCAGTGTCTTCTCCAGGGAGTCTTCTCTTCTCATGAGGTGGCCAAAGTATTGGAGCCTCAGCTTCACGATCTGTCCTTCCAGTGAGCACTCAGGGCTGATTTCCTTCAGAATGGAGAGGTTTCATCTTCTTGCAGTCCATGGGACTCTCAAGAGTCTCCTCCAGCACCATAATTCAAAAGCATCAATTCTTCGGCGATCAGCCTTCTTTATGGTCCAGCTCTCAATTCCATACATCACTACTGGGAAAACCATAGCTTTAACTGTACGCACCTTTGCGTATACACTCTGCCTTTGGAAAGGGTTAAGAAAAAGGAGAAGATGGAGCCCAGCTTCCTAGAAAGGCTCCCGAGAAGGAGGGATGCCAAAAGGACCTTCCTGTGTTGTTATTGCTATTCTTCTTATTCTGCCTCCTTCTCTCCCTCCCTTCTGGGGATGCTGAGGCCTCCTTTGCTCAGAGACACACACAGAGAGACATCTTTGGGAAGGGGCAGAGGTGCTGCTTGCAGGGCGTGCTGGAGGGGTGAGTTGTAAGAAGGGGGGGAAAGGCGGGTGGCTGTTTTTGGACAAAGGGAATATTTCATCCGCAAGGGATGGAGGAGTAAAAAGAGGGAGAAAAGGCATCTGAACAGGGACCTGTAAGGAGCAGGGATGATGCTCTCTCACCCCGGTCCTTGCATGAGGTTGCAAGGATGTAGTCATTATTAATACTATTGTTTGCATCTATTGCTCACGTTTGGGGAGTTGCGTCTGAAATAAACAGAATGAAAGGAAGAAACTCCACTGGGGTGCAAAGATTTATGATTAAGGTTTGCTTTTGTCGTTTTTGTCAAAAAAGCAGGCAAACCACGACCACAAAGACAGGGGAGATTCTCTTGTTTATTTCTCGTTGTCTCAGGCTGCTGGGGAAAAAAAGCACAGGAGCTTGGCACAGGGAGGAAATGTGGCAACTCAGTGTTGCTCCCACAACACAGGTGGCAACTGTGCGGAGTGTGAATGTCAGGAGAAAATGTTTATTTTCCGTGCCTCTGGCTGCTGTAATGAACACAGGAGCATGGTAGATGCAGAAAGGTGGCCACGTAATGTTGATTCTGCAGTTCAGGTGGGAAAATTGGGAGAAGGGGTGTCAGGAAACAAATGTCCCCCTTGTTTATTTTCGGTGTCTCTGGCTGCTGTAATAGGTACAGGAGTGAGACGGCGTGGAAAGGTGGCAGCAATAATATTCACACACATTAGAAGGCAAAATTTAGGGGAGGGTGTCAGGAAAAAATGTCCCTTTGCTTAATTTCTGTGTCTCTCAGGCTGCACAGGAACATGACAGAGGGAAGGAAGATGGAGACCTAATGGTGTTTCTACAATTCTGGCAGGAATTTTTTTGTGGGGGTGTTGTCAGGGATGGTTGTAAGGGTCTGAGTTGCTGAATTATAAAATTAGAAGGAACCTCAAGTGTTGTCTTGTCCAACTCCCTGCAATGCAGGATTATAATTTTTTGCACAACATGGGGCTCAAACCCACAACCCTGAGATTAAGGGTCTCGTGCTCTACCGACTGAGCTATCCCAGGTTTTGGATCCTTTCAGCAGGAGCAAAATAAGAGTCTTCTCTAATGTGTACACAATGGAATAAGCCACACGTGCTTATTTAGCCATCTGCCTCTTCTAACTAAAGCAACCAGGAGGAGGGCGGGTTCAAATTTTAACATCAAATGCAGCTCGTAGGGAATTCTGCACAACTTTGCTTTCAGGGATTCCCTGAAATGAAAGAAAGGGTGGGGGGAGATGCCTCCTGATGGAAGGTAAGTCTGTCTAAAGAGGGGTAAAGGTAAAGGGACCCCCGGACCATTAGGTCCAGTCATAGCCGACTCTGGGGTTGCGGCGCTCATCTCGCTTTATTGGCCGAGGGAGCTGGCATACAGCTTCCGGGTCATGTGGCCAGCATGACTAAGCCGCTTCTGGCGAACCAGAGCAGCACACGGAAACGCCGTTGACCTTCCCGCCGGAGTGGTACCTATTTATCTACTTGCACTTGAACGTGCTTTCGAACTGCTAGGTTGGCAGGAGCAGGGACCGGGCAACGGGAGCTCTCCCCATTATGGGGATTTGAGCCGCCAACCTTCTGATTGGCAAGTCTTAGGCTCTGTGGTTTAACCCACAGTGCCACCCACATCCCTCTAAAGAGGGGTAGTCAGATGAAAAAGAGGGCAGGGGTCCTGCGCCTTTAATAGCTGTATATAGAAGAAAGAGCAATGGAGGCTGGTCCTTGAGGCCCTAGGGCAAATGGGGGACTGCCCCACCAACCTCTGACTGACTCAACCTGCCTGCCTTCCTAGTTACATCCAGCCCAGGGAGGTAGCATTTTCCAAGATGGTGGACAAGACAGGTCTGATCCAGCAGAACTCTTCATCCGATATGCTTATGTCTTCTTTTCTTTAGGGAGAAGCCTGTCCCCTGGCTTGAGAATGAATCCACCTTCTGGGTGACCCGTCTCTATCCTCTAAAGATCCCTAAAGATCTAGTACTGCGCCCTTTCCTAAAGATTTTGCGTTTTACAGGGCCAAAGCAGCCTCCCTCTAGTTAAGAGGCACGGAGCAAATCTGTAGATCCAGCTCCATTGAGGCGAAAGAGAAAGAGGCCTCTTCGATGTCTGGAGGGTCAGGGATGGCAACCGTAGGCTTCCAATTTCAGCCTTTATTCACTCACGAGTTGCCTGCAGGAATTAAACTGGAAGAGGCAGAAGCAGCAGATTATTCAATTGGAGAAGAACAAGGAGACAAAGGCCGCCATTTTGTGCAAGCTGGGACGGCCCAAGGCTTTTCCAAAGGTCCACCACTGCTACAGATTAAACAGGAACCCGAGGAAGGTTTGGCCCAACACTGGGAAATCCAGTGGCATGACTTTTTGAGGGGCCTGCAGCTGCCTCAAGCAGGATGGCATAATCCGCAGCTTCGATGGGGCGATAAGGTCTCCATCAGAGAGGTAGCCCAAAGTGACCGGTGTCTTAGAGCGCAGAGGTTGACGCAAATCTCGCCAGATCTCAGCGCGGAAGCCCCAAAGAGCCTGCATGCCAGAGGGAGGGAAGATGCCAAGGTGGAAAGGGGAACTGTCCCGGGTGACATTAGCGCCGAAATCCAGCGTAAACGCTTCAGACATTTCTGCTACCGGGAGATGGAGGGACCCCGAGAGATTTGCAGGCGGCTCCGGGAGCTGTGCTGTCAGTGGCTGAAGCCGGAGAAGCACACCAAGGAGCAGATGGTTGAGATGCTGGTCCTGGAGCAGTTCTTGGCCGTCCTGCCTCAGGAAATGCAGGGCTGGGTCAAGGCAGGGGGTGCAGAGAGCAGTGCCGAAGCAGTGGCCCTGGCAGAGGACTTCCTGCTGAGCCAGGAAGAGGATGAGCCTCAGGGATGGGAACGGAAGGTGAGGCCACCAAATACCCGAAGGGGCACTTATCATTATTTTTTAAATTTCTTTCTTTCTTTCTTTCTTTCTTTCTTTCTTTCTTTCTTTCTTTCTTTCTTTCTTTTGCAGAGCAGTACAGTGGTACCTCAGGTTAAGAACTTAATTCATTCCGGAGGTCTGTTCTTAACCTGAAACTGTTCTTAACCTGAAGCTTCACTTTAGCTAATGGGGCCTCCCGCTGCTGCCACTCAGCGTGATTTCTGTTCTCATCCTGAAGCAAAGTTCTTAACCCAAGGTACTATTTCTGGGTTAGCGGAGTCTGTAACCTGAAGCGTCTGTAACCCGAGGTACCACTGTATACAAGAGGCCATCAAACTGCCAAATTAAACAATTCAAGCAAAACATCAAAACCCATTAAATGGGATCCTGCTCACTCAATGCTCATGACATTTTCTGGCTGCCCATTTATTATCAACAGTCCCACTCCTCTAAAACAAACTTTGCCAGTCCTGTGCCTTCTGGATGTTGATGGACTCTAACTCCCATCAGCCTTTGCAGCTAGCATGGTCAATGGTCTGGGATGATGGGAGTTGTAGTCCAGCAACATCCGGAGGTACTTAAAGGCTTCCCCACTCCTGGCTAGAATAGCACTGTTTCCTTTTGGTGCTCCTTCTAACTTCTGTCACTCTGCCCTGAACAAGGGTGTCCTTCCCCACAGGCATCTAGTAAGAACAGAATGCTGGACTAGATGGGCCAACTGGTCTGATCCAAAATACTCTTCTGATGCTCTTATGTCCTCTCTGTTGCTCCAGGTACCTGAGGAGGAAAAAAGGGAGACTGCTCTGGGTCTCCTCTCACCTTTGGGTATTCAGCCAGGACCTTTATGCAAGGAGGAGGAGGAGAATGAAGATGCCAGTCTGCTTGGTAAGGAGTTATGGGATGGATGAGACTTTACAAAAGCAGCTTGTTTACAAAGGTTTTGTTTCCTTCAGTCACGAATTCAAGGGGGCATAGACCTAGGTATATGTGTATAACATTAAACATAAACAACCTACATTTAATGCTGATTCATACCATCACGGCTTCCCCCAAAGGATCCTGGGAAGACCCCTATTCTGTTCCCAGAGCCACAATTCCCAGAGCGGTTTTACAATAATAAAAAGGTAAAGGGACCCCTGACCATTAGATCCAGTCGTGGCCGACTCTGGGGTTGCGTCGCTCATCTCGCTTTATTGGCTTCCAGGTCATGTGGCCAGCATGACTAAGCCGCTTCTGGCGAACCAGAGCAGTGCACGGAAACACCGTTTACCTTCCCGCCAGAGCGATACCTATTTATCTACTTGCACTTTGACGTGCTTTCGAACTGCTAGGTTGGCAGGTGCAGGGATCGAGCAACGGGAGTTCACCCCGTCGTGGGGATTCGAACCGCTGACCATCTGATCGCCAAGTCCTAGGCTCTGTGGTTTAACCCACAGCGCCACCCGCGTCCCTTAAACAATAATAGAATAATATAATTGTAGAATTAGAAGAGTGGAGACCTGAGAAATGTTTTGAATAAATGAAACGAACATAATGGTGGCCTGTCTCCCATTTTGCTTCTCCCATCCCTTCCCGCCTTGTAGCCAGTGGGGCGCGGCCTCTGATTTCCTGTGGATCATCTCTTCATCCTGCTCCAGAGCCAACTCAGGTGAGGCCTCAACATGGGAGTTGCAGAGGTTGGGGAGGGAAGGCGAGGAAGAGGGAATAGAGATGTAGTTGAGGTGGTTTGCCATGTGGTTGAGAATTTGCCGGATGTTGGATGCGCACGCTTTTTTCTGGTTTGTACCTTGGAAACAAACGGAATCCGTTCGACTTCCAAAACGTTTGGAAACCAAATTGCAGCTTCTGATTGGCTGCAGGAAGCTCTTGCAGCTAACCAGAAGCCCCGGAAGCCCCATCGGACGTTCGGCTTCCAAAGAACATTTGCAAACCGGTACACTCACTTCCGGTTTTGTAGTGTCCGGGAGCCAAAACGTCCGAGTTCCAAGGCATTCGGGATCCAAGGTACGACTCTATAGTCATACCTCGGGTTGAAGTAGCTTCAGGTTAAGCATTTTTGGGTTGCGCTCCGCGGCGACCCAGAAGTAACAGAGCACGTTACTTCCGGGTTTTGCCGCATGCGCAGACGCTCAAAATGATGTCACGCGCATGAGTGGAAGCGGCGAATTGCAACTCGTGCACGCGCAGACATGGATTGTGTTTGCTTCAGGATGTGAACGGGGCTCCGGAACGGATCCCGTTCGCATCCAGAGATACCCCTGTATTGCATTTATTTATCACTTTGCAGTAAAACAAATCTCAAAGTGTCTTACTAACTCTGATGCCATGCTCTGCCTCCTGTCAGGGACTGGGCAGAGGAGGAATGGTGGAGACCGCCTCCCTATCCTGACATGGTGTCATTAGAAAGCATCCCAGAACCTCCATCTCCCAGAACCCGGTGAGCCTTAGAAGTAGGAGAGCAACGAGCTGAAAAGCACATAGCAGCACCTATGGAGGAGATGATGAGAATGAGAAACAAGGAAGTGGGAGAGACTTCTAGGTGGAAGTCAAAAACTATACCCACAAAGGAGGAATGGATTTGTAAACTACATGAATATTTAATTCTGGCAAAATTAACTGCTATAATAAGAAATCAGTCGAATCAAAAATTAAAAAAGGAGTGGAAAGGTTTTGATGAATATATGGCAAAATATTGCTCAAAAAAAGATATGCTAATATGCCTAGATTAAAATGTGAAGTACTGGATGGAAGAATAATTAGTAAGGAAAGATAATAAGAATATGTAGATGATTTGAGAAGGTTGTAGAATGCAAAGATTATTGTAAATTGTATAATGTGGAGGAAATCGATTGGGGGCGGAGGGAAGTGGGAGGAAGGAGAAAAGAATATGATGGATTGAGGAAATAGAAATGTAAATGTATGGGGGGATGGGGAGGAAATGGTGTTGGCTTTGGTATATCTGTATTGTAAAGTAATATATGAAAACCAATACAATAATTTAAATTAAAAAAAAAGGAAGTGGGAGAGACGGGGGGATGGAGATTCACTTAGGACAATGCCATAATCACAGAGGCTGGGTTCTATAGCCTCTCTCTGTAATACTGAAATAAAAAAGGACGGTAAGAAACTTTTCCTCGTCTTTATGCTTTCCTGGGCAACCAGCTGGGAGCCACTGACAGCATCCTGACAACTCCACTGTAGGAATCCTTCTAAATATCAATTCCGGGAAAACACAGGAGGGGAGGATGTTGTTGTGCTCAGGTCCCGAGTTCCCCCAGGATCTGACTCTTTCCAACCCTGCGCTCAGCGCCTGGGAAGCCCCCAGCAGAGGACTGGCAAAGTCCCTTGGCACTGCAGTTCCCAGCTGACTGCCAGGAGCTTGGGAGGAGCCGTGCCAAGGGTCTTGGACTGGCGGGCGGGCGGGACAACCCACCTGTCAACCACCCGACATCACAATGACATCAGATGGGTTGCCCCACCCTCCTGTCAAAGTTGGCCAATTTAGCGGGGTGGAGATTAATAAGGGTCCGTTCCATTGGGTCAAAACAGGTTCCCCACCTATCTTGTAAACTAACGAGGAGAATTCTTGTATCCTTCCTGGAAAAATAGTTGTGGTATAGTAGTTAGAGCATGGGTAGGCAAACTAAGGCCCAGGGGCCAGATCCAGCCCAATCGTCTTCTAAATATGGCCCACGGATGGTCCAGGAATCAGTGTGTTTTTACATGAGTAGAATGTGCCCTTTTACAGTCGTGCCTCGCAAGACGAAATTAATCCGTTCCGCGAGTCTCTTCGTCTTGCGGTTTTTTCGTCTTGCGAAGCACGGCTATTAGCGGCTTAGCGGCTATTAAGAGGCCCGTTCTTAATCTGAAACTGCTCTTAACCTGAGGTACCACTTTAGTTAATGGGGCCTCCTGCTGCCGCCGCGCGATTTCTGTTCTCATCCTGAAGCGAAGTTCTTAACCCGAGGTACTATTTCTGGGTTTAGCGGAGTCCTGTAACCTGAAGCGTCTGTAACCCGAAGTGCCACTGTATTTAAAATGCATCTCTGGGTTATTTGTGGGGCATAGGAATTCGTTCATTTTTTCCTTTCAAATTATAGTCTGGCCCCCCACAGGGTCTGAGGAACAGTGGCTGAAAATGTTTGCTGACCCCTGGGTTAGAGTGTCAGACTACAACCAGGGTAATCCCAGCCATGAACCTCACTGGGCGACCTTGGGCCTGTCACGGTCTCTTAGCCTAACCCACCTTACAGGGTTGTTGAGGTGATGACCCCCTCTATTGCCGGGGGTTGGACTAGATGACCCTTGGGATCCCCTTCCAACTCTATAATTATATGATAACAACAGGAGATGAGCTGGGGGGGAGTGTGAACCAATTACATCCAATTGAGCTCCTGGGGCAGGGGTCTGCAACCTTTAAGACAAAAAGAGCCACTTGGACCCGTTTCCGAAGAAAAAACAACAACTGGGAGCCGCAAAACCATTGCGACATTTAAAACAAATATATCTCCGGAGCCACGATCTGACAGCGGGCGGGAAGGTGACGTCGGGATGGTGCGTGACTAACGCACGCACCGCCCCCATGCGACGTCACAGCCAGTACAGCGCCCGCCACAGTGAGGAGTGTCGGGGCGCACAATGCGCCTCCTCCCCTCGCTAGTATCCGCCCCGGAGCCGCAGCAAAGATGTAAAGAGCCACATGCAGCTCCGGAGCCGCGGGTTGCAGACCCCTGTACCTGGGGGGATATAAAGGCAATAAATAATAATATAGACAGCAAGCGTTGAGGAAGCAACATTTTCCTTATTTCAGGGACCGTTGGTCTTTGAGGAGGTGGCGGTTTACTTTGCAGAGGAAGAATGGGCCTTGCTGGATCCGGACCAAAGAGTTCTGTACAAGGAGGTCACGTTGGAGAATTATGGGAATATGGCCTCATTGGGTAAGACTCTCCTCTGAAGTAGCCTGTAAGGGAGCAAGGGGGAGGGAAAGAGCAGCTATGTCAACCACGACCATTTATGAGGGATAGTCTCCTCTTTAAAAATACAATTGACTCTAGTACAGTCGTACATTGGAAGTCGAACGGAATCCGTTCTGGAAGTCCGTTCGACTTCCAAAACGTTTGGAAACAAAGCGCGGCTTTTGATTGGCTGCAGGAAGCTCCTGCAGCCAATTGGAAGCCGCGGAAGCCCCGTCGGACGTTCGGCTTCTAAAATAGTTCGCAAACCGGAACACTCACTTCCGGGTTTGCGGCGTTTGGGAGCCAAAATGCTCAAGAAGTAAGCTGTTTGAAAACCAAGGTATGACTGTATATCCCTTCCGTTTCTTAGCTTACAAGTGGAACCTGCGATAAAATGTTGCAGCAGAGTCAACTTCAATTTGGAATTCTGGCTGGCAGCACCCTCTTTTCTCTCATTTGATTTCCCCTTCTGCTCAGCTTTCCACTCTGTCCTCCAACATATACTGAAAGATAGGAGACCGTTGGAGGGTTTTGGTATATAGTTAGATAAATAATGAAATTATTATTCCCCTCACAGAGCTACAAGTCCCAGAATTCCCGAGTAGAGAGGGACTGATTGTTAAGCTACTCTGGGAATTGCAGCTCTGCAGTTGTATGTTTTTAAGTGTTCCTTCATCTTTTTAAAAAACAGGGAAATATTTCCCCGTAGATAGAAAAGTAGCAGGTCAGGGACACGTTTTTCTAGCTTAGATGATTTGAGATGACAGAAATCACTCCTTAACTTCCTGTGTTTTCTTCCCTTCTATAAAGGACTTTTGATTCCCAAACCAGACCCTGTCCCCTGGCCGGAAGGAAAGGAAGATTTATTCACTCAAGACCCTGAGGAAACAGGAAAAGGAGGTTTTGCAGGTAACTGCTCACCTGTGTGATGGGACCATTCATGCCTTAAAAATCTATAATCCCCTCTGCGGTCTAAACCACAGAGCCTAGGGCTTGCTGATCAAAAGGTCGGGAGTTCGAATCCCCGCTACAGGGTGAGCTCCCGTTGCTCGGTCCCTGCTCCTGCCAACCTAGCAGTTCGAAAGCACGTCAAAGTGCAAGTAGATAATAGGTACTGCTCCGGCGGGAAGGTAAACGACGTTTCCGTGCGCTGCTCTGGTTCACCAGAAGTGGCTTAGTCATGCTGGCCACATGACCCGGAAGCTGTACGCCGGCTCCCTTGGCCTGTAAAGCAAGATGAACGCCGCAACCCCAGAGTCGGGCATGACTGGACCTAATGGTCAGGGGTCCCTTACATTTAAGGGCTGGTGAGGTTGTCAAAATTTATTCTCATGTGCACTATATATACCGGTAAATCGAAATAATATTTATATCTCAAAGGCACACCCAAAACAGTTTGAGGAGTTATTTGATAATTCCAAAGAGTTCAAAAATTGTTTTGGCTGATTTTGGAAGTGATGTTCTCACTCTGAACTGTATCTGCCATCACCAAAACAACCCAAGCACATCTTTCAGTGCAACAAATGGAGCCTGTGGAGTTGTCTGGGACTCCTGCCCAGGTGATTGGAGTGACTGTACCCTTTTGGTTCTGTGAGTGAGACATAGCTCCGTGACGATAAGCATACAGAGTACCGCAGGCCCATCTCCACTCAAAGTATTTTGCAGTGGAGTTCTCCGACCAAGTAAGGTGTACAAAAAAATGCATATACAGTGGTACCTCAGGTTACATACTTAATTTGTTCCGGAGGTCCGTTCTTAACCTGAAACTGTTCTTAACCTGAAGAACCACTTTAGCTAATGGGGCCTGCTGCTGCTGCTGCTGCTGCTGCTGCTGCTGCTGCGCTTGCCGGAGCACAATTTCTGTTCTTCTCCTGGAGCAAAGTTCTTAACCCGAAGCAATATTTCTGGGTTAGTGGAGTCTGTAACCTGAAGCGTATGCAACCTGAAGCATATGTAACCCGAGGTACCACTGTACTAAAGAGTGCAGGAAGATGATCCCCTCAAGACTCATTGTTTTTACATTTGACCCTGGGCTGTGTATGCATAATAAAAATAATGATAATAATGAATAATAATAATACAAAAGGGAACAATTTGTTCCCACAAGAGGCAATGATGGGCCACCGACTCTGGATGGCTTTGACAAGAGGACTGGACCAGGGAAACCTTTGGCTTTTCAGAGGTTGCTGAACTACAACTCCCATCAACCGCAGCCATTCAGCATGCTCTCTGGGGCTGATGGGAGTTGCAGTTCAGCAGTCTCTGGAGGGGTAATAACAACAACAACACAAACAACAACAACAACAACAACAACAACAACAACACAACAACAACAACAACTTATTATTTATACTCCACCCATCTGGCTGGTTTCCCTAGCCACTCTGGGCGGCTTCCAATACAGCATTAAACATTAAAAACTTTCCTAAACAGGGCTGCCTTCAGATGCCCTTTTAAAGTAAGATAGTTGCTTATTTCCTTGACATCTGATGGGAGGGTGTTCCACAGGGCAGGTGCCACCAACTGAGAAGGCCCTCTGCCCTGGTTCCCTGTAACCTCACTTCTTGCAGTGAGGGAGCCCGCCAGAAGGCCCTCAGCGCTGGACCTTTTGAAGCATATTAGAAGCACATTATTTCCTTTTAAGAATTGTGGGTACTGCTGTTGACCCCTCACATTTTGCGGGAAATAATGTGCTTTGAAGGTCTTGCCAAAGGCAAGGGGTTTTCTTTCCCCCCAAGGGTTCAGAAGTAAATGTGTGATGTAAGTGGTGAAGAAGTGGTAAAGATTTATTAAACAGGCAGCCAAATCATTTGCAAGAGTATCAACGTACCAAGCAAGCGATGGCGCCACCTCCTTTCAGCTGCAAAGAGACAACCTCAAGGCTGGCAATGGGTTCGCACAAAATCTTTGGATGGCAGCCTTCCCGGCCTAACATTCAAAGCTCAGTCTCTGGTCAAATGCTTAGGAAGACTTTATATCCATGAGGTAGCAATTGCTAATTACCGTGCACTGGAGCACACACAGCGCCGATCTCAGTGATCTGGCGGCACTGGCAAGAGCACAAAACAGAGATTAATGAGCCGAGAATCACTCCTGCAGTACAGGAACTATGCCCATGGAATTAGGAATTGAGGCTTGGAAAGCAGATAGTTTCACAGCAATTCGAGTCATTTAACCACTGCAGGCTTGGAGAGCAGTGAAGGGCCTACTTCTGTGAAAGGACCACAACACAATGGTGGGACATCATCAAAACATCAACCACTCCTCTCTAATCAATATAAACAATAAAACCAATTTCTGAGACTAGGAGAGCCTTAACACACTATTGGCCATCCTGGGACCGTCTCACCGCAGAAATAATAAAAAAACCAATCAAATAAATACATCAGACGGCTAAAGAACTTCCCTAAATTAGAGGTTGCCCTTCAATGAACAGTTGTGGCAGGCCACTGCACCTCCCAGCAGGTTACAACAGTGTTTCCCAAAATGTGGGAGACATCATAGATCTAGTTTTTGGATCATTGCTCACCGGCCTGACCTACGGAGAACCTGCCGCTAGCTAGAGGACACGAATGGGCAGTTGTGTCCAAAACACAGGAGATACCGTTTGAGCGCAATGGCGCTCACGCATGAATTGGTGAATGCATTTTATATGATGTTGTTATATAACACTGTGACACACGCAAGAATGACTTTGTGGAAGTCCGACTTCCCAACCCACATTTCCAAACCTTGTGATAGAGTTTTACATACGTTTCCACCCGAGGAACGCTTCCTTTGCATCTCTCTCAGCATCCCAACCAGCGGTTACAAATCATACTTTTCTGGTTTTCTCCAACAACCTAACACGTAACCTCGGTTTGCCCTGCCGCCAGTCCTAGACACCCTCTTCTTCTGGAAAGCAACGGGCAACTCCTCACCTCTCTCCCTCCATGCGCTCCTCTTCGTCTTTCCCTGCGTCACAAAAGCTGCAAATGAGTTCAAAAAGAACTCCTCACGCGCCCGCGCACGGGAATCCCCAACCCCATCTGGAAGACACGACACCCAACAGTTATTCCCCACGAGGAGATGAGCAATCCAAGGATGACATTATTTCCCTGCGCAGCCCGAGTAACTAAGTGAAAGTAAGTATTCAAAAGGAAGAGTGCCTTAAAGCTCAGGGAGTGTTTTGTTGGTTCGGGCTCCTCTTGTTTTTTCTCCTAGTATTTTCGAGTCACAATTCAGTGTTTGGTTGCTGACCTTTAAAGCCTAAACGCCTCGCCCAGTATACTGAAGAGCGTCTCCTCCATCGTTCTGCCTGGACACTGAGATCCAGCTGCCGGGCCTTCTGCGGTTCCTCCCTGCAAGTAATCCGTTGCAGGTGAACCCAGAGGCCTTCTCAGTAGTGGACCCACCTGTGAAACGCCCTCTCCTTCAGTATGTAAGGAATAAGTCTTATCTTTAAAGGAAATAAGAATAATTCTTATTTAAAAGACATCTAAGGCAGCCCTGTTTAAGAAGTTTTTTAATATTTAATTGCTGTATTGTTTTTAACACTCGATTGGGAGCCCAGCGTGGCTGGGAAACTCACCAGATGGTGGGGTAGTAAAATAAAAATTATTAATTATT